GCAGCAGTGGGCCCCTTTAGGGCCAGATGAAATTGTCCCTTATGTACCACGGGGAGGTTTCTGTTTTTTGTTTTTGTTTTTTTTTTTCACGGGGGCTGCCACTGCAGTTTCCCACCCTCACACCCCTCACACCCCTGAACCTTGCCTTCAAACCCAATACACTGGGGCAGCTAAGTCATTACTGACTTGTAAAGTATCAGGGATTAAATTAACTAATGAAACCCTAAATGTGATGGGGGTAGAAGGGACTGGGATAACAGTGTCACTTTTGGGGGATACCAAGCTGAGTCTAGGGGATAAAATGATCACTGGGCAATTATTGTATGTATCCAAGGCAGAGACTAACTTGTTGGGAAGGGATTTGATGATTAAATTGGGCATTCAACTAGTAAATTGTTAGACTGGAATAACAGTGTTATTAATGGAGTGCTCTCTGGCCCTGAGAGCAAACATACACGTATATTCACCTCTGACTGGAAAGACCCTGAAATGGGGCGGAAGCAACAGTATAGGTGGACAATTTTACCTCAGGGGTTTACAGGGCCACCTATCTATTTGGGTAAATTCTAAAAAGATTTTGGAGCAATTACAACCTCCCAAGGAGGTATTAATGTTACAAATATGTGGATCATTTTAAGGAAAATCGATACTCCCTGATGGGAAAGAAATGCTGAACAAAGTGATAATGAGGCAAATATTAACTGTTTTACATCAGAAGAGTCATTGGGAGGTGCAAAGCAATGTGTGATGTTGTTCTAAGAAAGCATGTCTGTGTAGGAATATATATTTTAGGGAAGCACACATGCAGAGGATGTACTATATGTCAAAGGGTAAATAAAAAGGTCTTCTGTAACCTATCTAGAGGGGGACGGGAGCCAGGGCTTTGACCTTTCCAAAGTATACAGGTAGACTTTACTGAGTTACTTGTTTGTCCTAACTGACCACGTGACTGAATGGGTGTAAAGCTTTACTGCAAGGATTAAAGCAGGCCTTAGAGATTGAGTGGGATTTTCACAGCCCCTGGCACCCCTCCTCTTCTGGAAAGGTAGAGCGAATGAATGGTGAAATTAAGAAACAACTAACAAAACTTGTGCTGGAAACTAAGGCTTCTTGGGTAAAATGCTTACCCCTTGCACTGTTAAACATATGGACACAGCCCAGAACTGATGTAGGAATTTCTCCTTTTGAAATGCTATATGGTATGCCCTATGATTTGGAATTGCCACTTGATCACCCTCAATTCTAATTAAGACTTGGAAAGAGACTGCTTTAACACCACGATGGGGAAGGCCCCTATGTTGTTTTGCTTACCACAGAAACGGCTGTTCGAACTGCGGAGAAAGGATGGATACATGCCAGCCGTGTGAAAGGACCAATCCGGGAAGGTAAATGGGAGGCAGCTCCAGGCCCTGACGACTTGAAGCTGACACTAAGACGGACTCGATAAGTATTGTATATTATCTGTGTATCGTGGGAAGGGGAGGAGGCCCTGTTTCAAAGGCTCCCTAGTAGGTTCCCCTGAAGAACACTGCTGCTGCCAAGAAGAACCGATACCTTGTAGTTCGCTGCAACCAAACTGACAAGCGAGGCAGAGAAGTGAAAACGGTGGGGGACTGAGGGGCCGACAATTTAGATGGGCTCTGACCACCTCCTACGATACATGGGAGTCAGTATCATCGTTTTGGTCAGCTATGGGTCTGCACATCCCCATCAGCCTTTTAAATGGAGCTTGATGAGATGGAAGGATCAATTCGTCATCCAGCAAACAACGACAGCGGGTGCTCCCAGTTTTCGCATCACATTATGTGACCTGGTGTCAGTGCAGCCATGCTTTAACCGATCAGGATTTTATTTCTGCCCAAGTTCTAACCCAGGAAAGGGGTACAGTAATTACCCGAACATGTATTATTGTGCATACTGGGGGTGTGAAACCATTGCTACGGACTGGACACTCGGGCTGGTCGGAATAAATTCTTACAAGTGGGATATGGGCCGCAAGGTTGTAACCAACAAGCAGGTCCCCGTTACAGGTGGTGAGGGCATGGTATAGGGTATACAGGAACCTTCCATGGAAATAAAGAAATTTGCAAGGTTCTATATATAAATATAACAAACTTGGATGATACTAGCTGGGTACTAGGAAAAATGTGAGGTGTCAGATTTTACAAACACAGAACAGATAGGGGAGGACTCGTACTAATAAAAAGAAGGATGCCGATAGGCCCCAGGCAGTAGGACCAAATGAGGTATTGTCAGAAAATGTCCAGGGAATCCAGCCTGCGGAAATACTACAGTGCCAATCCTCGGCAGCTCTATGAGCTCAGGTAAAGCCGAGAATGATAACATAGCTGGGAATAACATATGGGGGGGGTCATGAATGTCAGCTACCAATTATTAAACAAAACAAACCCAAATGTAACAAAACACTGTTGATTATGCTTTAGTATAAGGCCTTCATATATGATGCTATCGGGAATCCTGGGGAGCCCTCCCGCACAAACGAGAACAACCCTCTACAATGCAGTTGGGGAAAAGACAAAAGGGTAACACTAACAAAAGTCAACTGGAGGTGGTAGGTGTGTGGGCATGGTTCCTAGTGGGAAGTGTCACCTATGTAATATCATGGAGAATGGAAAACAATCGCCGAGTGGTTAATCCCAGCCAACAACGCTAGGTGGGTTTGTTTGTGAGTGGGCATAACTCCTTGTCTATCACTAAAACTCTTTAATGCGTCTCGTGATTTCTGTATACAGGTGATAATTATACCAAGGATTCTATACCACCCTGAGGATTGTATGTACACCCAGACACAGTGGAAAGTCATCATCTGGAAAGACGGGAACCATTCACGGCTCTAACTTTGGCCACCCTAATAATCCTGGGAGGAGCTGGAGTGGGGACCAGGGTAGCCTCATTGGTTAAACAAAATCAATAATTTACTTCCTTATGCATTGCTGTGGATAAGGACCTGACCCAAATTCAATAATCCATCTCGGCCCTGGAAAATCTATCAGGTCGCTTTCAGAGGTAGTGTTACAAAATCATAGGGGATTAGATTGGTATTTTTTACAACAGGGCGGGCTGTGTGCTGCCCCGAAAGAGGAATGCTGTGTGTATGCTGATCACACTGGAGAGGTAAGAGATACAATGGCAAGACCCAGGGAAGGGTTGAAAAAAAAAAAAAAAAAAAAGGAAACAGGAGAATGAAGCCCGACAGAGCTGGTACGAATCTTGGTTTAATTATTCACCTTGGCCTACTACTTTATTATCAACAATAACAGGACCTTTGTTGTTCTTAATAATAGCACTAACTTTTGGACCATGTATTTTTAATACATTGATTGTGATTGTAAGGGACATTTAGAAGCGGCACATTTAATGCTCATACATGCCAGATACGAGCCAATAAGTACCAACGAAGGAATCGAGGAAACATTAGTTCTTAGTAGCCAGGCATTGCAGAGCTTCAATGAACAAAATGAGTAACTAAAAGAAAAAGGAGGGATTGTAATACACAATAAAATGTTTGTTCATTGTCTTTTGTATTATAAAACAGGGAGTTCTGTTTGAGGAACGGGAGTTGTGAAAACTCCCTGCTGAAGTAAGGAGCAGTATAATGCTTGGCTAGACACTATGAAAATTCTTTTGCTTAATGTAACAAAAAAGAGACCCCCCTCCTCTTCTCTCCTTCTGCATCTCAGTTGCCTCTTTTGTTTAAAGACACTGCTGCAAAGCTCATGTAACCATCTCCTGATAAGTTGCTAACCTAGTGTATCAACATCCTGCCTTCCTGTCTCACGCTGGGCCAACGTGACCAAATAAAAAAAGAAGTTGAACCACAACGCCGAGGAAGACTACGGCCTTCATCTTCACGACCACCAGAGGGACAGAGACGACCCCCTAGCAACAGTGCGCGCAGTCGCAGAATATACCAGGATGTGCTGCGTAATCCCGGAATTACCAAGATATAAAAAGGGACCCTGGCGGGGGTGAGGTGCACGCCATTGGCGGAGCCGAGACTCCCCAGCTGCCCAGCGCTGTTTTGCTTGCTGTTGCTTACTCAATAAATTCCTTTCTATTATTAATGCAATGCTCTCTGAAAATTAATTAAGGGGGCAACTTATAAAACCACTGTGCCCTGCCTCGGGCACGGAGCTGCAGGGTCCCCACTTTGTGATCCCTTTGCAGCCACCCCACCAAGCACCCCACCAGGACTGGTGTGGGCCCACTGCCATCGCTCCCCAAGGGATGCAAGGTGGGGACAAAACTGCATCTGCAGCAGAGAAAGGCAGTTTCGGGGAGAGCGTTTTTGAGGTTTCTCCTCAACGTCAAGCACCCAGCCGAGCAGCCCAGATCCTTCTTTTACATTTGGAAAAAGTATCGGCCACACCGAACCAAAAGGTTTGTATTTTATTAGATTTCATGTAAATCGTTTCCAGCAGAGTTGTGCTTTTGTGGCTTTTGCTGCTTACCTGCCACACTCCCAATTTCTCTGGGGAGCTTCCGGCTTTAATTCAGACATGGGGTCTTACCCTGCTGGCTTACACTTGAGAACTGATATGCATAGTAGAAAAGGATTTACTTTTATGAAAGATTATAAAAAACACACATAAACTATATATTTTTTGTACCAATGCAATCAAACTAATCATCTGTTGTCCTGTTTCCTTTGAACACGTTCAAGAAAGCAAACCGAGGTCTCATGGTTGCACCTCCAGGGCTCGCTGGAAAAGGCTGGCAAGGGGAAAAATAGGAGGGGTGTGAGACAGGACCCCCAAGGGACCCACTCCATTCTGGGTCCCCATGAGCCTGTGGTCAAGCTGCTCAGTCTACCCCTTGCCATCTTTAAAATTTCTACTTCAAGCTGGCCACCAAAGCAAAGCAATGAACTGAATGAGTAAAAGCAAAAAAAAAATATAAAAGCAAAAAGATAAAAAAGAAATGCTCAAAATGTAAAGAAAGCCTCTTCGCGCCGGCCTTTTTGGTCAGCCAGGCTTGTCACAAGTTTTTCAGCATATCCAGGATTTCTTGGTATTCTTCCTGCAGATCTGCAAGGAGAAAAGCAAAATGAGACAGACTTCGTTGGCCTTTTTGTTTTTTTCCAGAATGGGAATAAAATGATAATATGATTAAGTACAATGAATGCAAAACATGCAAGTACGCTCAGGACCTGCAGACCCCAGCTGTTTTAGGACACACAGATCCCCAAATCTGCCCCCAAGCCCTCTCCCACCCACCCACCACACACGCCCCGGAGAGGAGAGCTCAGCCCGTACCTGGCAGCACGCTGACCGGTGTGTCACACTGGCTGAAGATGACGCTGAGCATGCCGAGGAAATCCTTGCTGAGCTTTGTGCTCATCTGCTCCTGCAATCAGAGAGGGCGGACAGCATCACTCTGATGTCATTTGCGGAGGAGAAGCTGCGCTGGAGGCCTCCTTACACAAAGTCTGCTGCAGCACTGCCTCTGAAGCCCTTGAGCTCCGGGGGTGCACTGGGATCTGCTGGGATAGGCCAAGGCTGTGACGCCAGTGATGGCAGCTTTGGCACTGGCATTCCCAAAATCTTGCTGGGGAAGCAAGAACCTGACCTGCAATACCCCAAGCAGCCTGAGGAGTCGGTTGAGGGGAGCCCGCACCCCCCCTAGGTGCCCATTGCCTCTGCTCAACCAGCGTGCCAGATCCTTGGCCAGCAGAAAGGAAATTCCCTCAGATAACTGTGATGAATCATGCTGTGCGTGACCGCGGTTCGAATCCGTCGGGTTTCAACCCACGGGAATGAGTCTGAGTGGCCTGGGATGAGGTAGAGGAGAGTTCATAGGAAGTCAGAAATCGGGAGACGCAGGGACCGAAGTAGGAAATCCCCACCTAAAAAACTCAATTTTTTGTTTACTAAGAGACCAAAGCTGGTTCTGGGGATAACCAGGGAAATGAAGCCAAACCAAACTCCAGCTTGATGTTTTTTTTTGTTTGTTTTGTTTTTGTTTTGTTTTGTTTTGTTTCTGTTTTGTTTTGTTTCTTTCCTTTTCTCGGGACAGAGACTTGAAGTACTTACGCTGAGCCACTGCAAAGGTCAGCTGGAGCAAGTCCAGGCAGCTGAAGTTGATAAAGATTTTCTCACCAGAATTTCTGACAGCTCTCACACTGGTGACGTTGCAGAACAACCTGCATCTCGCCTCAAAACGTCACAACATCCCGCAGGATCCATAAATCCCCCGGAGCATCACAAGCGCTCTGCAGCGACCACCGGTCTGCGTGGAGGGGGGGCAGCGCCTCGTCCAGCCTTTAGCTGCCTGTCACAGTTCTGCTCACCCAGCCTTGATCTCCAACAACAGTTTTTGCAGTTCCAGCAGCAATTTTGCAGTGTGACTCACCGTCAGCTCCCGGGAAACTGGCTCATCATCCTCTCCTTCGCTTTCTTGAACATCTCCTGCCGTACCTCCACCTCGATGCTCTTTGTCAGTATGCTTTTGATCTGCTTGTACGTGTCCTTCCCACTTATCTTCTTAGCCTCTGTTGGGCAGAGGTGGGAAACATCAGACTGCTGTCAGGAGCCCGCAGCAGGCGTGGGCAGACGAAGCTGGGGTGGTCTTTGGGTGCAAAGCTCACGTTGAGGCCGTGCTGCCCACGAACCTGCTGCTGGCAGACTTCTACCTCCCAGTCCTCTTCCCAGGCGACTTTTGCCATCCTAAAGAATTCCTTTAGCCAACAGCAAAACCTTCAGACTGCCTCCTTCCACAGCCCTCCAGGCCTTGCCCAGACCCAGGTGGAGTTCCCCTCCAGTACCCCTCTGGCAAGGTCTCCCCTCCCAGCCCCAGGCTGCTATCTCCTTCCCAGGGAGGAACAGCCTTCGTTTGAGCCACAAGAAGTGTGGTGGGTCCCATCACGGGAGGCAGCAATGGCAATCAAAATTACAAGGAATTTATGCAGGAGGCTTTGCAACTCCAACGTTTCTTCCTGGTTAAGAAGACTGTGACCTGCTGGACTCGAAGGCACAAATTTACTCAGCCCTCTTCAGCCAGTGAGAACAAAGCCTTCTGCGGACTCCACACACAAGCTGGGAGAATGTGCCCCAGGGACCAGGCATCCAACTCACAGCGTCAGCTACACAATTAGCTGGAAAAGCAGCCTTACCTTGGGTAAGACGGCGTTAAGGTGCTTTGGATGGACAGCTCAAGCGACTCATAGATGGCCTTCTTTTTCAGAAGAATTTCTCTTTCGAGAGCTCTCATGATGATGTCGGTCTGCAGGAATCAGGGCAGAGCATTTCCCAGCACCTCCAACCCCCCGTTCACCAGCAGAACAAAGAAATGCTCCGAGACGGGGAGCAGGTGGAGCACACCAGGGCTCGCCCCAACCCTTACACGGACCAGATCCGTTGCGTCTGGTCACCTGGAGTTCTCCTTTACGAGCTTCTAGCAGAGGCATCCACCGAACCATCTAATGATACCCCAAGGACCAAGTGCGAGCTGCCTGTGGCTCAGCATTAAAAACAATCCTGCTGCCCCCGACGCTGAATAGCAGCTACTGGTCATCAGGGGTTGCCACCACACCCCCAGCCAAAGCTGCTGACACGACGCACGTCAGACTTTTCCGCGTGCTGTACCCCCCGAGCTCCTGCCAAGGGGCTGGCGCCCACTCCCAGGGCTGGGCCAGCTACACAGGGATATCTCATTGGGTTTTCCCTGTTTCACACTCACCTCTTGTAAGAGGAATTGGAGCTTGGACTCATTCATATTCGTGTCCCTCGCAAACGCCATGAATTCGCCTTTACCACCGTGCTGAACCCATTGATGGCAGCCTGCAGACTGTTCCTCGTGAGCATCTGTTTTCTGTGTGGGTGAGACCCCAAAACTGTTAGACCCATGGGCTTCCCCCTGCCTCACTTATTCTCTGCACGTTGCCAGCCAAGGTGAGCTTCTCTTATCAGAAGACACAAGGCTTCCAACTCCAGTGCAGGGATGTCCTCGCTACCTGGGCTATCTGGCTGGCTCCCTCTTCTCTGGGGACTGGGAAATAGCAAGGTATTCATTTCCTTTTTTTATTATGCCTGAACCCCTGTGAAACACAGGGGCAGAAAGGGATGGAGCTGCAAATGCCACTTAATTTCTCTATTGAACTGTTAATGTGGTACATCAGTACCACATGGGGCTGTGGGGAATCACAGAATATCCCCACTTGGAAGGGACCTCCAAGGGTCATCGAGTCCCACTCCTGGCTCCACACAGGTCTGCCCAAGATCAGTAGGAGATCAGTCGCGACTGGGAGAGAGATGTGGAAGTTGCTGAGACAGGTTAGTCAATTAGAAGCTTTGCCTGAGTAAATGAACTGCAGTTGGGCATGCTTAGTTTGCCTCCGTGAGTAGTCAATGTAATGCTAGCTTAGCTTTTGAGGAAGAGATAAAGACCCGAGTGCTTCCCACATGAGGTTGCCTGCAGATGGCGGAGAACTCTTTTGTAGGAGTTTGTAGTTATGTAGGAGAACTCTTTTCTTGGAGCTTCCAAGAAAATGTGGCTTGGTTCCTGCTTGCCCACCGCTCTCACCTGAATATGTTTGCAAACATCATTTCAATTGCTGCGTAGATGGGCTCAGCCAGGCTTCTGTTGATGTTTATGCGGTGGAAGACACGGGACACGTACACCCCGTTCCTCCTGCACACAGCTTTCAGGGTCATGTGGAAGCCTTTGGACTTCTCGCCTATCTGCAGGAGGAAGAACGCAGCAAGTGTGAGCAGAGCCAGCAGCAGCAGTGCTGCTCCCAGGACCAAGTCCTTCACGTGTCATTTCAGAGCTGCTTAAACTACCGGTAGCAAATGTCACAGTGAGAGAAAAGCGGGAATTAAACGATCTCTTTTAGCCTTTGGTGCCTCCTGCAACGTGCCTGTGTTCGCTCAGGGTGGATTGCGCTAAAGACGGCAAAGCTGGGTTGGGGTCTAAGCCTGGAAGACGCTCATTTCAACCGTTTAGAAACACACCATCACTTGGTGTCCCCCCTCTATCAAGGAAAAAAGGTCTCTGCAGGATGAGCGTGCAGCTGTAGGGGCATAACGTGCTTCCTGGGACCTGGTCCCGGAATTGTAATAGTCTGACTCTGTCCAGGAGTCCTGCTGAGGAACCAGTCCTAGAAGGACTTGCTGCTTGGCAGGAGGACCCGGTGGGCTCTGGGGAGCTGGCCCATGGCATGGCCGGCTCACCACTATCCCTACACAGTGCACTTCCCAAGACTTGGCCGGTCCCGATGGCACGGAGCAACGTGGGCAGGCGTTTCTCCACCTGCGTTAGGTACAGCATCTCCTTAACACAACACATCTGTGGTGGTTTTTGTTTGTTTGTTTGTTTGTTTGTTTTTCCTAGAATCAAGCTCTCCTTTCTAAGCTAAGGTAACACTGAGCAGCAGCAAGAACTTACCCTGTCTCTTACCCACAGACCTCAAAGCACCTGTCAGTGATTAATGAGTGAAACTCAGCTGATGTTGATGGCTATTGCAAGACAGAAAATGAAATAATCCTACCCAGCCTCAGAGTGTGGAGCAGACCTGCGCCACTCACCGCAAAGATATTTTCAATTTTCTTCTTGTGTGAATTTTGGGCAGACTTCACCCCATTGGTAAGAAGCGAATCCATCTGGTCAAAAATGCTCTGAGCCGTCTTCTTCAGCTCCTGGATCTCCGTTGACACAAACGCGTTGAGCCTGTCCTGATGCAGGGCTGGACCCTGGAAAAGTGGGACGGCACAAACTTGACAAAGCTGCTGAGTGCAAGGCCAGCACACTCCAGAACTGTCCTCCCTGGAGCATCCTGAGCAGCTCAAATTTAAGCCAAGATCGCGGAGGGGGAAGCTAGAGCCTGCCTCTCACTGGCACCACGTGAGAGGGCCAAGAAGATGAGGAAGATGAGGTGATAGCAGGTAATGGGGCTACAGGGCTGGCAAAGCTTGCTCAGCCTCTGCAGCTTGCTTGCTTTTTCATCCTTTCCAAAGAGAGCCAAGTGGCTAATCAGAAAATGGGTTTGGATGCAGGCCTTGGCCTTGGTGCAGCTTCACAGCTGGGTGAACCAGGCAAAAAAGGCCTTCCATGCTCCAGGGATGCTCCTCTCCTCCTGGCACTGCTGAATTCCTCCATGCGGGCAGCAAAGCCCTGCTTAGGTCACTTCAGGATAGCAAGAGCAGCTCTGTATTTGTTTCCTGAGAAGGATGAGGCTGGCTACCGGGCCCCACAGCCCCAGAAGGAACAGGATGGTGGCAGCGTGCAGGGGCTGCAGCCACACGTACCGGGTTCAGCTGCACGGTGTGGAAAACGTCCACCAGGGAGAAGATGACAAGGATCTCCCGCATGCGCTCTTGCAGCTGATTTCTCCTCACGTTCAGGCAGAGCTTCCTGATTTGGTCCCTTAGCATGGAGATTTCTGAAAGAGAAGACGAAGGCGACCTTTATTGCTTTCCCTCCACGAATGGGAATGGGTGCACAGGCAGCAGGGCTTGCAGCAGGCACGCGGCCAACCCTTCACCTGTCTCCTCGATCGTGAGGACCGTGGGGTTCCAGTACTCCTTGGCACTGACGGTGAACACCAGGTCCGCCTTCTGCACCACCTCTGTGTCGCTGGGCAGTCTCATCTGAAACACACGAGCGTGCAACGTGAGCGTGCAACAGCTGCCTGAAGCAGCGCAGGGCCCTGTGCCTTCAGCTCCACGTCCAACCTCTCCTCAAACATCCCTAGGGACGGTGACTCCACCACCTCCCTGGGCAACCCGTCCCAAGGCCTGGCTGCTCTTTCTGAGCAGAAATGTCTCCTCATTTCTAGCCTGAACCTCCCCTGGGGCAACTCGAGGCCATTCCCTCTGCTCCTATCACTAGTGATAGTCTGGAGCAGAGGAGGCTCAGGGCAGAGCTCCTTGCTCTCTGCTGCTACCTGAAAGGAAGGTGTGGGGAGCTGGGGGTCGGCCTCTTCTCCAGACCAAACACCCCCAGTTCCCTCAGCCGCCCCTCACAGGCCTTGTGCTCCAGGCCCTTCCCCAGCTTCGTAGCCCTGCTCTGGCCACGCTCCAGGGCCTCGATGTCCTTCTGGGAGTGAGGGGCCCAAAGCTGAACCCAGCACTCGAGGTTTGGCCTCCCCAGAGCAGAGCCCAGGGGGACGATCACTGCCCTGTTCCTGCTGGCTGCACTGCTCCTGACACAACCAGGATGCCCTTGGCCTTCTTGGCCCCCTGGGCACACTGCGGGCTCGTGTTCAAGTGAGCATCGACCAACACCCCCAGATCCTTTTCCTCCGTACAGCTTTCCAGCCACTCTGCCCCAGTCCTAGCACTGCATGGGGTGGTTGTGGCCAAAGTGTAGGACCAGGCGCATAACCATGTGGAACCTCATCCCCTTGGCCTCTGCCCATCAATCCATC